AATGTGGTGGTTAACTCATAATGGGATTGCATCAAAAGCGATTATAGAGGAAAATTGGTAAAAGTTCATGGAAACCTCAACAACGCAAACTATATTATTTTACTCGGTCTGATCTTCTGCTCGACTACGAAGATGGTCACATTTTTCATCACGTGCAACAAAAAGGTTTCTTGTGGATGAAGATATTCAACTTTTGGAAGAGTGGTCAGTACGTGGTCCTGATCTCAATATAATTGAACCATTGTGGTGGAAACAAGTGCTTCGATGAAAACCACACAATCTCCAAGACCTTTTGAGATTACTGCCAAGAACCAATGGAAAAAGATTCCCAATGAGAAAATATGGTCCTTCCTTTATTCAATGCCACGTCGAAATGAGGCAATTATTCAAGCCCAAGGCAGTCATATAAATTACGAACTCCATACATTGACGTCTTGTAATTTCTGTAATCATAAAGATCACTTTTGGCAAAAGAAATTCTTTTTAACAGAAGAAAAGAGCAAAAAGGGTAATTTTTGCTGGTAACCCAGTATCTTGGCATGGGTTTGTTCAGCATCGTTATACTCACAACATTAATGTAAATGCAGTTTTGTTACTTTCTGACCGTTTTCGCCAGCGTATATTACGTCTATCAGCCTCGCATTCGATATATATATATATATATATATACACGTTTCATTAAATAATATAGACAAGTGTTGTCTATTTATTTTATGTAAATTTTTTTCGTAACATCTGATAAGTTTAATAACATTATCGTTGAACGAAGAAAGAAATTCACAATAGTGATCCATATGTATCACTATTGTGAATTCACTATTGTGAAAAAATTTACATAAAATAAATAGACAACACTTGTCCATATTATTTAATGAAACGTATAAACGAAAAGATGCTGCCTAAATACACACAATAATATATATATATATATATATATATATATATATATATATATATATATATATCGATTATAGGTGCAGTTCAATTTATAATTACATGAATCATTCATACAAAAAACAAATATACAATTGAGCTGCACCTATAATCGAAATTAAAATAAGTGATCCAACGTGCAACTTTCGTATAATAAGTGTGGCATTCCTGTAATTATTGAACAATATAGTTCATGCCACATTGACGGAAAACCTACCAGTACAAAAGAATTCTCTTATTACTATATTTGTACAAAAACGCACAACCTTAAAATTTAAAATTCAAACTCAGCGTTGCGACCGCACGTTCCAAAACAATAACACATTTCTCATAGCATTTTTTCGGATTACATCTCTATTTTCGTTGTCCTCTTATTACCGAGAAGTAAAAAACAAGAACAAATCTATTTCTATTCCTGAGGATGTCTGTAGGAACAGACGAAAGCTTGTAAAAACTAAAAAAAAGACCTTATGAAACCGGAATTTATAAACAGGGATCATATCATTCATATACAGGTTCGGGGTTAGTGTACCTTATTGAAATTGTTTGCGAAGATGTATTCTCGCCATTTAAATCATTAACCTCTATATTTGTTTTTTGTATGAATAATTCATGTAATATATATATATATGTATGTGTGTGTGTGTGTGTGTGTGTGTGTGTGTGTGTGTGTGTGTGTGTGTGATATTACGATATATAATTTTGTATAATATTTACATTATACAAACAGTATTTAGAAAAAGATGACAAACTGGAAAGTTTCTTGTGACGTGTCATCCGTTAGGATTTCATCAGACTGGGTTTTGTTGATGTTGCCCCGTCTACGCATGCGCACGAACCGAGAGACGCAGGTAGTGTTCAAATTTTATTTAAGAATATTTTTTTGTTTCAATCCAAATTCATCTTTATTCTTTTTCGTTTTCTCTCCATCACCTTTGTTTGTACTTGACTATACCACACCGTGATAATATAAAATCTACCAAGACTGGTTATATATTGTAAGAGCCTGGACAACAAATTTATTGTGGCTAAACTAGCGATCAAAGCACTTTCCAGGCATTTTCGTCTCAGTGGATTATTTTCTCTTTTAATCAAAGTAGCATTCCCTATGTCAAAACTGTGGGTAGTTTCGTTACGGTGAACAACCGATGCATTTCGTGTGTTGTTATTTAAAATGTCATTTATATCGTCTCTTGTTTACCCTTGTTGAGGTTTTCTCCAATGTATTCATTCTGGCAAATCCTGCAGTTGACAGAGTAAATTCCTCCTTCAGGTTCTGGCTGGTTGTTTTTTTTGTTTTTTGTTTTTTTATTAAGTCTTTGATTGTTTTAGATGTAGCTGCGACAAATTTTATATTGAGTTTAGATAAATTCTTTTCGGTTGTAGTTGTGATAGAGTTGGTGGATAGAATCTTATATGTGTTGTTCTTGTCCTAAGTATTATTGTTCATTACCTTCGTGACAGGAGGATTTCTTTGGTAACGAAGAAAAGAACACAGAGCTGTTACGTGGCATCTGTCCTTCTTTACGGCAACGAATGTTGGACGATTTCCTCAATGATGAAGAAGAGGCTCGAAGCGACAGAGATGTGGTTCTACAGAAGGATGCTAAGGATATCATGAACCGAGTGTGTGAACAACGATGAGGTCTTAGAGAGGTTACAAACAAGGGGGGGGGCTTATACTTAATATCAGGAAGATGAAGCTGAAGTTCCTGAGACATATAATGAGGAAGGAGGGCCTGGAGAATCTGATACTCACGGGTGAAATAGAGGGAAAGAGAGACAACGGAAAACGACACATGACATGCCTAGCGGCCTCAAGCAAGTGGATCACAGAACGTGGTCTAGGGAGATGGCACAGGTAACAAACTTGTTGAGAGCTGCAAGGGACAGAAGAAGGGGGAGAGCCATGATCACCTTCGTCTTGAAATATATAAAATATATATATATATATATATATATAAAGTATATATATATATATATAAAATATATGTATATATAAAAAATATATATATATATATATATATATATATATATATATATATATATATATATAATTTATTCGAAAATTATAACATAAATATGTCAGAAAATCATTACAAAAATAGCCATTTTGTTTCAATACTTCTAGTGTCTTATCAAGTGACGGTGCTGAACGTAGAATAAAGAGTTTACGAGTTTAAGAGTTAAATTTGCTCTACTTTGTATTGAGCACTCTTTTACGAATAGTATTTTTTGGTTATTGGAATTTATTCCGTATACATCAATCCTATACTTATATATATATATATATGTGTGTGTGTGTGTGTGCGACAAGTATTCAAGCCAAAGACAGTGATATAAACTATGAACTCCATATATATATATATATATATATATATATATATATATATATATATATATATATATATATACACTCATCGGTGACAGCCTTCGTCCTGTTCGAAAATAGCGCTATTTAGAATTGGTATTCTGTTTGTTTTCTTTTATAAGTGTTTGAATATCTTTAAACTAAGTAGCAATATTCTCAAACGGACTCAAGGCTTCTTGGCTATGTTCGAAAACTAAGCAAAACTACACTAAGAATAAAATTACTACTATCCCCATCACTATAGGAAGAAACAATACAAATATGTCACGTGGTCTGGTGCTCCTGCTTTATATTTCGACATCTTTGATAATATCCAAAGAATCTGTTATGTCATCTGACATGTCGACTTCAGTGACTTTCTCACCGCCGTAATGTAGTTTATCTGTGCCTGTTCTATAAACATGTTCATGGGAAATGTTCTGATGAACTCTCCTCTATGAATTTAAGCTCAGTACTAGATTGACAGAAAGGTCTCATTATTTTATAGTTGAAATGTATTGTAACCTAGGGAAGGTTACTGAATAGAATAATCACACGAAGATTAGTAATGAACGATAATACTTAGGACAAGAACAACACATATAAGATTCGCCAGCGGCGCGTAGAAGTAGTAGTCCACTGCTAGAAGTGAGTCAAGTGAATTCCACAATGAATCTCCAACTGCAGGATATCTACCAACCGCTCGACACGGTCAGATGTGGCATAAAGCCGAATTTAATGTGGGACATCCGAACCCGTAGGCTCGGCCAAAAATTCCCCGTAGACCCCGTATAAAATGGGGTCGGGTAGCTGTTTCCCGAGACGAGACTTTGCCCTTCGACGTAGCCTCGTCTGGGGATCCTCTCAGCAGAGAGTTTGACCAGCACCATACAGTATTTACTACTGTATTTATGTGAATGGGGACATACTCATTATCGCCTGTAGGTATGCTGCGACAAAATGGTTAGATGCAACCGCAAGTTCTATGCTAACAGTTTCTTCTCTCGCACTTCTCGCTTCTGGAACTCTCTTCCGGCTTCGTGCTTTCCACTCAAGTTTGATCTTCGGAAAAATGTCAATCGTTATTGTTGTGGATTCCGAGATGAAATTCGGTCTCCAATGAATGACAAACGCAAGAATTAAAGATAAGAAATTAAATGTATTTACACAATAATACAAAGGGTAATACTGTTAGTAAATCCAGGAACGCGGTTAGTCGCAATAATAATAATATATATATATATATATATATATATATATATATATATATATATATATATATATATATATATATATATATATATACAGTCTCGTAGTAGGACTTCCTTATAGTCTACGTGCTTGTAACTGCCTTCTACAAGCGGTTACCTCACACTATTACTCTACCTCCAATTCAATCACAATCTCTTCTCCTCTCTCTCTCTCTATTCTGACTGACTCCGGTATTTAACGGCAGAAGTTAAGTAACACTCTGGTCGAGTCCACTTATATGAAAAAGGGGAGGACACCATAACTGTTATTTTCTGTCTTTGTAATTTCTATTCTTTTATTGTTCTCGCTCCTAAATAATGTCTTTCTAATATTCTTTCTTACTCAGTAACCCCACTGCATGTTAGTGGCTTTGTTGCCTTGCTTGGTGTAAAATGATTAAAAAAATAAATAAAAATACTAACGAAAATTACCTTACCCTAAAATGGCTATAGTATTTACGGAAATC